TATTTCGTATATAACTAAAATATGTTAAATAGTTGTAATAAAATATATAATTTAATTATTAATTATATTCTTGAAAAATATTGCTTACTTAACGCGAGATCAACAAATATTTATGGAATATTGTCATTTGACAATAAAAATTAATATCGTTTATTGTTTTTCTTTTATCAACCTGGATATCCAACTCACTATGCGAGCCGACTAATCCCAGGGTGACCACCTGCTTTGCAGATAGCCCGGAGTCACCGCATTTGAACCTCCGTGACCACAAAGAGATTTTTATTCCTCCTTGGATTTGAACCTGAGACCTCTTAGTACTTTTGACCTTTGAAGCTAAACTCAAACCAATCAGACATCACCCTTGTGGTTAATATCGTTTATTGTTATGTAACATTATTTGGGAAATTTAATTTTATGATGACAAGTTCTCATTACGATATGACTACATTTATACGGCAAGACTTTAAATGGATTTTATAGTAATAAATATTTTTTGTATTTATGTAATTTTTTATTCTTTTTCTGTGGTAGTTTATTTTTGGATAGGACTTGTTGTACTCTATTATAACAAACATTTTTAAGATACCAAATTTAAATGTTAAACATTTCTAAAGAAATTTATGATGAACTCGATGAACGAATGTTTTTTATTAATATTTTTATTCGTGAAATATTGATCTTTTATAAACATGTTTAATTTATGATATTATAACTTTTAGTAAACATATTTGATTAAATTTATAATGTTTAAATGATAAAAATATTAAAATTAAAAGTGTACTGCTATAATAGAAATTGGTGATGTAATAATAAAATAATTTTGAAAGTACAATGCTATAATAAAAAATGTCATGTCAGTACTATCATACATGTGAACAACCTACATGGACGATGAGGGTGACAAAGAGACTTGGTATAATGAGTAAATTTAATTTAAAATGTTACTCAATGTTATAACGGATAATTTTTTGAAAGTACGATGCCCTAATAAAAAATATTTTGAAAGTATATTGCTGTAATAATAAAAAATGAAAGTACAATGTTATAATAAGAAAAACTGAAAATGCAATGCTATAATTAAAAAATTTGTAAAAGTAAGATGCTATTTCGTGTATTTTGCTCTTTTTTATTATGCGTGTTCTTAAAGCATCTTAAATAGCTATGTTAAAATAATTATTTTTATGGTTTTGAAGACTTTTTTGTCTTAAATATGTATGTTATAATGTATATTAAAAAATGAAGAAAATAAGAGAGAGAATGTGAAAATATCCAAATTTTAATAATTTTAATTTTTCCACCAATAATAGACATTTAAATTAAATGTTTTAAGAGAGAGTAATAATATTTTATTAAATATGTTAATAATATAATTAACGTTGGAATTTCTTAAATAGAATAGCTCTTGTAATTGAATATAATATATTTTAAGAGATTTTGACTTTTATTATTATATTCTAAAAAAATGTAGCATAACTGTAATTTAGCATAGTTGTTGGAACAAATAATATATCTGTTGAAACAATTTTTTCTTTCAAAATCGCAAATTTTTTTAAAATAATATATCTGTTGAAATAATATGAAAATTTTGAAATAATTTAATATGATAATTTAATATTAATAATTAAATAAAAATTTCATTCCCGTAGCATCTTTATGCCGGTAGAAGGTACTCGATATTATTCTTCCATCATCCTTCTTTATTTTATTTTGTTTGTATTTGTGTTCTTTTGTTCTTCTCCATTCTTCCATGCTTAAATGTTTCATTGTTTCTTGAGATTTATCGAATGCTATAATGAGGTAGTAACGTTGCAAATGAATGCTCAACCATGAAGAAGGGACGGACCTACTACTTGCCACCGAATTATTTATCCGTTGAAGGGTAAAAAAAGTAGGTTCGTGAAAGGTGCAACCGTATTAATTTGTTGTGTGCCACCGTATGTATTTTGAAACTATAATGAGAACGAGTTTTATTTGGTAGAGTTAGTTTGCAAGGCTTTTATTCCAGCTCAGACCTAAGTTCGAATCCTGTTAGTGTCTTTTTTTTAGTCAAATGGTGTCATCGTTTGAATTTTTTTTCCGTATATTTATTTCTTATAGTCAAATGGTGTCATTGCTTGAAAAACTTTCCTTATATCTTTTTCTTATGGTCAAATGGTGCCACCGTTTGAAAAAAATTCTGGGTCCGTCCCTGCCATGAAGTTTGATGACATTTCTATGGTAGTATCGGTGGTGATGTTGTTATTGCATAGATCACTCTCATTATTAAATTACTAGTTTATTACGTCAATCTTGCAATATTCCGTTACAATTTATATTTTATAGAGATTCAAAATATATCCCATTCTTGACATATTTTTCTAGAACTCGTGTAGAAGCCAAGAAAGAACCACTTGAGTTGTGGCGTATTGGCTAAAAATCATGGGATTGTAATGGAAATCTCATATTCCTCGGTTTGAATCCAAACGCTACGAAAGTACTTTTGATTGTGGAGGTTCACTTACGATGCTATAGATCTAGACCATTCATGACAAAAAGATCATTACAGGTTATGGACATATGCATCCATATCTTACCTTTATAATTTTTTTAATAGTCTCTTATTAGTTGAAGTATGTTAACGCGGTTAAGTGTATCGGTTAGCTTGTTAGACCTTGGCTAGATATTTGTTGTACAGATATAACGCATTTGTATTATTTCACTTTTCAATTCAATTCACAAATTTGTCCCAAACTTCTAATATGGTATCAGAGCTATCTGTTCTCTCCATCTAAAGCATCCTTCAATTGAAATGACTTTTTTAGTTCATCTTTTAGTTTCTCAACCAATCATCAATCTTCACGATTCATTCATGTCTGATCCTCGGTCTTCATCGATTCCAACATAGAATCTCCCTTTCTTAAAATTTAAATGTCATAATAGAACCATATAATAAAGTGCTACAATAGATTTATAGGACATTTTTGGACGTCACGAGTTTTTATAATCTTTTTAAAATAAAGTATCGTGTTAGCTATTTATAGAATACTTTTAAAAAATGTTCTATAAACCCACCTTTTTATAGACTTATTGTAATACTTTTAAGTTCTTCCTCATCATATGTAATATTCAGCCAATGATCATCCTCAGCTATCAAAACCTTGCATGCATCCTTTTGTTTGGACATAAGGAACTTGTTTTTGTAGTAGTCAGTGTTTTTTGACACCGATTTTCTACAGTTCACACCAAAATGTCCCTTATTTCCACAATTATAGCACTTAGTGTTTCATCCGCCATATTCTTTCCAAATTTCTTGTTTTCATCAAACTTCTTTTCTTCATACTTCTTCTTCTCACCAAACTTATTCTTATAGTCATATTTGGATCCGGATGAAAGCCTTTGACTGTTTGAATGCGGCTTTTTGTAGAACTTTTTCTGAAAAGCTCTTGTTAACATGACCATTGCTTGCTTAAGCTCTTTCATTTCAAAATCAGAATCACTTTCAGATACCTCTTCTATAGAAGACTCACTTGACACAGTCACCTCTTTTACTTATTTATTGGCCTTAGATCTACTCTTCTTCTCAGATACCAAAGCTAAAGGATCAACTACTTTTTTCTTTGCTTCTTTCTTCTCTAAAACTTCTTTCTCATTATGTTTAGAGTTTCATACACCTCATGAATGTCAATATCAGATAACGACTTGTTATATCTGATATTGCTAGATTTAGGAGTCATTTTTAAAATAAAATGCATACCATGAGGATTATTTATAAACTTTATGAAGCCTAGGGACCATTTTCGGTTTTTCTCAAACCACATGGATCAAAAAGGGGAGTTTACTCAAAAAGTTATTTTGTCCGTTTGGAACCGTCCCTTTGTGGATCACGGTTGTACTCCCGACGGAACAACCATCGCCATAGCAGTTCCGATGGCTTGAATTCCATGGCTGAGGAGTGAAGAGCATTTTACGTTAGGTTTTGGTGGCCATTTTTAGACCAAAAAAGTGGCCAATGTTGGCGGCTGTGCAACAGATCCTGATGGTTATTGGGATCATTGTTGTCGTCATCACTTTGCTGCTTTTCTGGATCGCTACTGTCAGAGTGTCAGCTTTAACATTAATGGTAATAAGTTAATTACAATCTTTAGTGGTGGTGGCTCACGGTGGCTATGGTAGTGACAACGGTGGCTTCGCCCATAAAAAAGGATTGTGCCGTGGTTGTTCGTACCCATACTCAATTTGGATAGAGATGCCCCACATTTCTGTTAACAGAAACGAGTGGACAACAAACAAGCACAAATCGGAACACTTGCTCTGGTAGAGAGGGAGATAGAGAGAGAGAGAGAGAGAGAGGATGGCCGCAAATCTTGTCCATGGCGTCCATCACCTCCACTGCCACCAGATATCACGGCAACAATGTTTCAATCACCACCGTGGTCAGACCTCCATTAACGTGACGACGGTAACTTCAAATCTGAAGCGATCAATTACGCTGCCGAGGCAAATCAGGGTTCCTAGAACACCTCCAGTGATCCGTAGATTCACTAGAATTTCTGCATCACTTGACCTAACAGAAGACAATGTTAAGCTGGTTTTAGATGATGCTCGAACGAAGGCAAGTCTAAATCTCAAATAATCGATCAAATTTTCACATCCATAACCACTAAAACCCCAAAATTCGTTTTGCTTTTCTGCAGTTTTCGCACCTATTTGATACATCAGTTGGGATGACAGGTGACCTAACTTTCGATTTTGGTTCCCTCCGGTGAATTCATAACCATACTGAAACAAAAGAAATATGAATTATGAAACAGGAGTTGCAGAATTGTCCGAAGTCGATGGACCATTTGTGAAGATTAGGCTCAAAGGTCGATTCTGGCATGAACGTTCACTGGTGTTAGCCAGGCTTGGGAACTATATGAAGGAAAGGATTCCGGTAAGCTCATTCCATTGTCTAATTCCTAAAAACTGTTTGTAACCTTCATCATCAAAGCTTTCTCTAATGGAAGATTGTATCTTACAGGAGATATTGGAGGTGGATATTGAAGATGAGAAGCAATTGGATGACAGCCCTGAAAACTTTTGAGCTTTTGGATTCTAGTTTCACAGCATATGCCACAATCTTGTAAGCATTCATCTGATTAGTAACACCTAGATACCATTGAACATAGCTTTCATATATCGAATGCAATATCTCATCTTCGTATTTTAAGTTTAATTCGTAATAGTTTAGACATCTTGGTCACTCATATACACAAATGCGTGTTCTTGACAAATAAAGCAATTAATAAAGAAAGAATCTTGAAAGAAACTATATTAGCATAACTATATAGTTAGCCAGTCAGGACCAGATTATGATCGAAGCCTGAGACAGCTTGCAAAGCTTTAGTACCTTCTGAAAGCTCAACCAACATGGGTTCGGGTTCGTCCATAGAACTGCCCAAACCGAGCCTCCCATTTCTGCCACACCCCCAAGCAAAGACCTCTCCATCGGAAGTGAGAGCAATAGAGTGGACACGCCCGCCTGATACTGATAACAGATTTTCTCCTAAAAGTCCATCCACCAGGAGTGGGATGTTTGCTGGACCTTCCCTCCCGAGCTGAGAATCCCGACTCCAACCCCATGAAAAGATGCCGGAGATGCCTCTACCACCATCTGCAGATGGGATCTGGCATATTGCCAAAGAATGGCCTAGCCCTGAAGCAATAGAAACAGCGTGAGCACTTATGTCAACTGGAAGCAATTCCAAATCTTGAGTTGATCTACCCAATTGCCCATATAAATTGTTTCCACCACTGAGTAAGGTTCCATCACCTGAACAAGAAAACAGGAAGTTATGTTAAACCTTCAACTTCGGCTTCTAGGATAGTTAGCACCAGAGACCACAATTAGAATACGTGGAACCCCTTCGGAAAAAGGCCTTGTGAGGGAAGCTGGTTCCTCGTACACTATAAAATCGGCTTTATAGAAAACCAAATATGTCTAAATTTTCTAATAAACTGCTTTACAAGACTTATGTTTTATAGGACCAAACAATTGTGCATCCTTTTAGAAAGTGTTCCAGCATGTTAATAGAACATTTGTGAGTGTCTTAACAAGTCTTTTAGAACAGTTTTGAAGTGTCTTACTAATTTTCTTATGGGACCATTATTTTTATAAGACACTTTTCAAATAATGTCACATTAAAGGCTAATATAGCAATTTATTTCAAAAGTGTTTTAAAAACTTGTTAGGACGCCCAAAATCGTCTTATCAACTTATTGTAATACATTTACATAGGAAGTACACTTATTTGATATCATAAAAGTCCTATAAAGTAGTATATTATGACAATTAAACATATTTGATGTATTGTAAAATCGATTTTCTTATAATGATATTTACAGATTTGATAGTTAGTGTCTAGCTGGCACGAGAATCCCATACAAACAAGACACACAACGTTGGCTTTTAGAATAGTTTGCACCCATACCACAAACAAGACACATACAAGGACATTGTTATGGTGATTGAACATGGCTTACGTAGAAGAACCAAGGCGTGGTCAAACCCACATGAGATGTCGGCAACTTCAACACCTTCTAGCTCATCAATCAAACATGGCTCCCAGATTATAGGCATATCCTTCTCCTTATCCATGGTTTCCAAGACTACTTTCTCAGCAGCTTCAAGGTCAAAACTTGAAGACAAATTAGCCCTTGAATTGTGTGGTGAAGCCCCCCCAACTCCTCTCTTTCCTAATCTACCATCTGCTGAATAACCCCAACCAAACAACTTTCCATTTTTAGCAAGTGCAAGAGCATGTCCCCGTCCAAATGAAACCTGTCCATTGGAATCTATCAGATTTATGCAATTAGATGACCATCTTGAAGAAGATGATATCCAGAACCATCAATTCAATTCTACCTCAAGAATGCTATTGACACCACCTTAATTATTTCTTCTTTAGCAAGAACTTTTATCCTGGAAGGAAGAACAGCCTCTGTGATCCCTTCTCCAAGACCCAATTGACCACGATTCGATTTCCCCCAAACCCATAAGGCCCCATCAACCCCAATGGCTGCAGAAACAGCACCTGATGCAAATGCAGATTGAACACCAATCAACCCATCTATTCTTCGTGGTTCGAACCATGTTTCTCTGTAATATGAACCGGATCTTATAAGCAATTGGTTTAGTTTGGTTTCTATTGAAAAAGGAAATGAAACCAATTGGAAAAAAAAGGTGAAAATTTGGCATACCTAGGGGAATGAAGGCCACGTCCAAGTTGGGATTCAACATTACGGCCCCAAGACCAGAGGTGGCCTTGAGAAGTTACAGCGAGAGAGTGGTGGTGACCGGCGGCAATGCTGGAAACATCGGGAGGTAAGGCGGAGATTGGAGTTGGTTCATAGGCGTGGGGATCGATGCCGGTGATGGACGTTGGTAAGCCAAGTGCACCATGGGTACCGTCTCCGAAACTCATTACGGTGTTGCTCATCCATCGATGGCCATTAAAAGGCAGCTTCTTCATAACTCGAAGCATCATCTCTTGAATATTTAATTTTATTTTGAATGATTCGATATTCAGTTTTTAGTTATTTGATGTGAAGCCATTGAACTTTCCTTTTTTTGTCCTCAAATCAATGGTTCTTCGTCTATCAAATTATTCAATGGTTCTTCGTCTATGCTGGCAGTCTTCTGTCCTTACGCGGTTTTTGTGCATCTGATCTCTAAACTTCATTTTTTACTGATAAGACCTGGTGGTTTGCACTTTCCTTTTCAAATTAGTCCTTATGGTTTACATCCGTTATATTTTTCTGTTAACCTCACTTAAATGAATGGTATTTTTGTCTTTTTCCTATTTTCTTAATAAAAATAAAAACAAAATATTGTATATTATAAAGTAAATTACAAATCAGGTCTCTATGGTTGTATTAGAATTTTGGATTGAGTACCCAAAAAAACTAATTACAGATATCATCGTAATTTCGATTTTATTATAGATTGAGTCCTTCATCCTAACTCTCTTTGTTAAAACCCCTAACTATGAGGGGCAACTTTTGTCATTTCAAAAGACCCTTCCAGTTAATATTTTAATAAATTTTCCATCTCTTTTAATATTTTCATTTGTCTGGTTACATTCATGGACATAAGATCTTCTTCGTCTCTCTCCTTAAAAACAACCCCCCATCCATTTTTCTCATCTTCTTCTTTGACAAACCCAGGATGGTTAACTCTGAGTGTGGTTCACCGACTCTGATTCGAAATCAACATTCATGCACGATGCATGGACGGAGAACCACGACCGAAATTCATACTTTGTTTTGAAAATTGTTTTGTACATGTGCATGATGTTATCTTCTCCAAATGGAAGACATCCAGCGAGAAGAACGTACAAATTGCATAAGGACTCCTTTTTTATTGTTTTTGTGTAAAAGCCATCTCGAGAGCACTTGATCCTCTGTTTTACAGAAATGAACAAAAGATTAAACCCTAAAATGATAAAGCAAATCCATATAGCTAAAGCTTAAAACATCAACCCTGGAACCTAAACCTCGACTTGGCATCGTACTGATCATTCTCCACCCACCACCATTTCCAACCTCGTTAACATACGCAGATCTAAAACCAGAAGGAGATTGAGAACGCTTTCTTTGGCATCGTACCCTGTCCGGCTGTGGTCTTGGTTCCGGATCGAAATCGAGGAGGCATTCCTGGAAACAAAGTTGTTGTTCAAAACTTTGTGGGTGGAGGTGGTAGCAAACAAGGAGGAGTTCACAGGAGCAGTGGGTTTGGGGGACATCAGAAGTGACACCGATAATGAAGCCAGAGATTTGTTGAAGATATAGGTGGTGTTGGATCGATGTGCTAAAACAACCAAAGTTTATTGATAATTTTGAGAATTCACACTTTGAAATGTGTACAAATCATACATACTTATAGACACCGAAAAGGTGCCATCGAACCATCGCAATGGTTCGCCAATGAAAATGTTGTTTCATGAACAATCACACCTCTTCGTTAATAACCACCAATAACAACCTATACATATATAGTATTTTAAATCGAGATTAATCTAACAGGTGATATGCAAAGGGGTAAGACAAATTGCATTTGTTGTTTTTCAAATTCTATGACATGTGGTGTTACCTAATTGATCTTTAAGAAAGACAAAATAAAAAGTATTAATTACTAAATGAACAAACATATATTAAAGACTGAAATGTCCTAAAAGTTAACAAAAAAAATGGACTCTAATTTGGTCGACTGACCAACCTCACAAAACTCCATCCCCAAGGCTCTTGGTATCATAATATGTGTATTTGGTTGTTTGAATAATGTATTTTTGTAGCATTATTTGATGATTTTATGTTTGCTTTAATTTAGACGAGATATGGATAGATTAAAGATGGTACGCACGAATTGATGATGATCGAGTATTTGTTCTGATTTGCAGGTTCTATAGTGATAAAGACGTAGTTGATTGTACATGTATGCATTTCATATATGTGTTTCTATGCATGTGTATATGTTATAATTCCTCAAGGGAAAAGCGCAAGAACCAAAAATAGAAATGAGGGTGTTGGAAGAGGTGATGAAAAAACGTTACAACTATTTGTTAATCACATACATCATACAGATTTAGTTTGAAAATATTGAATCCGACGTAATCATCAAGGGAAAATGGCAAGGACTGAAAGTAGAAATGAGGATGATAGAGGAGGTGATGAGAAAACGTTACACAACTATGTGTTAATCAAATGTATCATACAGATTTAGCTCGAAAATATTGAATCCAACGTAATTATCAAGGGGAAAAGGCGTAAACCCAGAATATGATGAGGAAATGATGAAAGAAACAATATAACTATCTATTAATCAAATACACAATACATATTTAGCTCGAAAAAGTTGAATCCAACGTAATCATTAAAGGAAAATAAGCAAGAAAGCGAAATAGAATTGAGAATGATGAGGAGGTGACGGAAAACGTTACAACTATGTGTTAATTAAATACGTCATACGTCATACAAAATTAGAAAGAAAATTTTGAATTTAATGTAATCATCAAGGGAAAAAGGCGAAAAACGCAAATAGAAACGAAGATGATGAATAAAATGTTACAACTATGTGTTAATCATATACATCATATAAATTCAGCTCGAAAATACTGAATCTAATGGAATCATAGGAAAAGGCGAGACCCGGAAGCATAAATGAAGATGGAGGAGGTGATGAAAAATGTTACAACTATCTGTTAATTAAATACATCATACAAATTTCGTTCAAAAATACTGAATCCAATGTAATCATACAAATGTGATTAAGCATTACTCAGGTATGAACTTACTAAGTAAGTGAACGTTGTAAGGTTTAATAGTTTCTAATTTACTTAACACAAGTAAATATAATTACAGATAACTCAAAACTCACATTTATTATAAAAATCGAGATCTCAGTCAACATCGGATAACCAGAGTTGTTCAATATGTCCAGATCGATAAGATTCAAGTACGTATTGAAATGATCTTGAAAATTAATTATACATCGTAAATGTGTAAAACCTAACAAATTATAGTAAAATTGAAGTCAGATCCACTATTAACATAATAATGGTAATCCTAATTTATGAAATGTCACGGGTGTGGAAAATATGTACAATTATTCATTGTGATCATTGTCTTAATCATTCATTGTTCTGATTAAACCTACTACAAGTATGTACGTTTAACGACTATAAATTACGAACTTTAATTATAATATTAATTAAGCTATGTGTAATCTTTATGTTCGTCAACTGCAATTGTATAAATACACAAAAATCTTACAGATTATACCGGATTTTTAACATAAGACGCAATCATGGGTTACAGAGACATGCAAAGGTTGGTTTCGTTAACTAAATTAATGGTCTTTGTTTTCATTAAGTTTAACGATCTCTATGTTTAATGTATACGTATTATTCTACGTATGCAATAAATTTAAGTAATTAAATCGTTGACGAAATCATCGGTTATATAAAATTTATCTGTCACATTCTTTATTTTCATTAATAGATCTATTATCGTACTCTAATAATAATTATAATCCCAATTTGAGGTTCAGTCTTTTCGATCCATTCATTTGATCTTTATTAACTTCAGAAACTAAAACTGATCAGATTAAACTGTTTTATTCGTCATATTTATTGTTCTCTCTTATCATTATTTATATAATAACCCCTTTCGTCTCATACATTCAAGTCTTACACCCCAAATTTATTTGTTTTTAATAAATTATCGACAAAATTTAATCATGTCGGACTCTGGCTTCGTGCATATGCTGACACCTTTCGAAACACTTTTTAATGTGCGAAAAAGACACAAGAAAAGAATTTTGAATTGTTGATTAATCACCAGAAATTGCGTAGAACCAATAGTTCACTGTCTAATGTATCTTTCAATTCTTTCGTGCTTTTAATCCAACTCAAGCGGAAGAATAATACTTAGGTAATTGTTCGAATAAAATCCATAAATGTTTTAAAAACAAAAAAAAAATCAAAATACACCACTAATTTACACACACACACACATAGACTTGGGATCATGTGAGACCAAAAGTTTTTCGTGAGACCCGTAAGACCAATTTTTAACCCTTGGATTAGATCTACAATCTGAACATTCATAATCACAAATTTGGCACGAGACTTCTCAATAATCACAAAAGTGTCACCGTGCAACTTTAGACAATTAGATCAGAAACTTATTAAGTTGATCAATGAACATAAATTGGTCTTACGGGTTTCACGGAAAACCTTTGGTCTCACGTGAACTCAACCCTATATATAGTTTGTTTCAAATACAACCCAATGTATTTGTACAACCAATGCAACCCAATGAATTGAGATATTTATGAAAATAATAAGAGTTCATTTATTACGATTTGAATATTTATGGAAGATGAATATGTTTCATTAATTATGATCAATACTTTATATTAGAAAACAATCAAAACTTTTATGAAATCATATATTAATCAAATGAAATGGACGATTGAGATTGAGTTGTATTGGTTGCACAAATGTCGAGGGTTGTATAATAACCAACCCCTATATATATATATATATATATATATATATATATATAATCCAATTAATTTCTCCCAAAAAAGAAAATATGTAATTATGAAAGAAAGAAGGTGTATTAATCACATGATTTTTCCTAAATAAAATAGTTATGACCCACTATTATTTTATGCCTAGATTTGTTCTTCCAATTTAATTAATATCTATTCCCAGCCAATTATAAAGTTGACCTTTTTTATTGGTAACAACTTTAATTCAAATATATATATTTTTAAAGTATATAATATTTATATATAATAAATAAAACAAATAAACTTACACATCCTTCTCATATTTGGTAAGGTATGAACCTCTACCTCCCAAAAAAACAAAAACTCACATACCACTAAATTAAAGGCTAGTTGGGTATAATTTATTCCTTGTCATCGATCAAAACGACATCAATTTATCTCTGCAACTAAAATCTAGCAAATGATAACAATACTTTATA